TCAAGTAACATTAGAGATACTTTAAAAATATTATTACTCAAGTAAAAGAAACATATGATGTGGTCAAACTACTCCTAAAAGTACATTTATTCCAAAAAGTTACATGTAACTGAGTAAATGCATCTAGTTACTACTCACCTCTGCTAGCAGGCCAGCAAAGGTACATTAGCAGAAAGTTAGCATTAGCTGCAACCACCTCAAGACACTGTGTGCAATGAAGATGTATGTACGACTTAAACTTTTGCCCGACAGAAAAAAAACTACCGTACAAGATAAAATAGACATGCAGAATTTAAGACTTGCATGTATTTGAGGTCAGCTTCCATTTTTTAAAATTAATTTCTGAATTATTAAGGATGTGTGCACACGCTGCAATTATACCACCGACCGTCTGCATTACAGTAGGCTGCTTAAACTTCGCTGTGACTTGGGTTCCTGTAGCCACACGTCTTTCCTCGGATCAAGCATTACTCAGTGGTAAAAGTCCCAGCTACGGTGTCAGCTAAGCATATATCCTAAACCGCAGTTTTCACTGCACCGCTGTTAGTTTTGCTGCTGCAAACGTTTTGATTACCTAGTAAAGGTGACACCCTGACAGATACATGGCAAACTGCCGAAGCACAGATTTACTTTGGCACCAAAATGCTCGTGAGGTTGCATAAATATTAAAATATGGCAGCGGCATTTTTCGGCTATATCCTCAGTGTTTGGTGTCATGTTGCTCTGGTTGCCATGCACATGCAGAAGCCCACACGTGCTAAGCTCAAAGTGACAGATGCCTGACTTGTGATATATATATATATATTCAGGCCTTGGGTTATAAGCAAGACAAGAGCACGTCAGCAGTTGACTGTTGAATTATTTCAGCTCAATTGCTCCTCTTCCGGGGTTTTTTTGTTGTTTTTTTTCAAGCTCAGCAGGCCCTCGGGGTCAAATGCAAGAAATCAAATCCCCATGATAGGCTCCGATTGTGTGTTCGTATGTGTGCGTCTGGATGCAAGAGAAACTCGGCATTCAGTTAGCCTTGGAGACAAGTTTGTTTCCATAGCATGAACACAGTGGGCCCATTCTGTTCCGAGTTCAGTCACCTGATTCTCCTCAGTAGAAAAGCTGAGACAGAGGTATGTGTTTTTTGTTTATTTGTCTGGGAAAAACACATAAAATCTACTAAAGGGCTCATTCTGATCAAACCTTGTGGGTTTGTGGAGCACCATGAAAAACAACAACAAAAAAACACACACACACAAAGTCGCCAGGGATTCATTTCAGACGTTTACCAAAACGTTGCCCAAATTAAAGCTCTAATCCTGATGGACCATGTTCTATGAGAGCCTCTCCATTTGGCTTCTGTGGGTCCTGTCAATGTTTGAGCAAAGGTTAGCTTTCTGAATTTGTGTAAACATCTTCACACCACTACATTTAACAAAAGAAGCATTTTTTTTTTTTGCAAATGTGAGTCAGACTTTTGTGTTCTTGAACCAGCGGCGATTGTAACCTTGGAACTTGCCCAGTGCGTTTGTTTGTTGCTGTTGAACACTGACTTGATGTGTTTCAGATGTTGTTGTGACCTCTTGGATCAGGTCCAAGAGGTCTTGTTGTGACCCTTTGGTCACAACAAGAGGTCACAACACTTCAATTCGCTCCAAGAGTAATTTTGGTAGATCACCCGTTCTTATGAAGGTTGTACTGTACAATGTTTCTTTACGAGTAGATAATTTCATTTGTTGCTGAATTTCTCTAAATGTTTGGCCCATTTCATGTTGTCCAGTTACGCTTTACTCTTGTTATCTTTGCATGACAAAAATGTTTAATGAGCTGAAACATTTAAGTGTGACAAAAGCAGTGAAAACTGAAAGTGCTTGACAATAATAGCACTTTGTAAAGAAAATATTTGTGATGACTTGAATGGATTGAAGGCATTTAAAAGCTCTCCGAAAATCTGTTCTGCGAAAAAATAAAACAAAAAGAGAGTTTGCAATGGCAAAAATAAAGCAAATCTTCTCCTGCCAAAAAGGAAAACTGTTGAACACTTTGTGTATTTCTACGACTCGCCTCAGAACGTTTGTGAACGGAGGAGCCGGCAGGGCTGCACAGTCCTGGTGACCCCTGCTGCATGTCAAACTAAACACTCCAACATTAAAACCAGCAGGACAGTCAGCATCTGAGGTCTGCAAAGGCAGGCTGCAGAAATCACACACACACACACACACACACAAAAATCAAAATGTGTAAAGGAAAAAAAAAAAAAAAAAAACGAAACTATTTTGGCAGATTCGTGTGTTTACATCCTGAACTGGATGTGATTTGGCTTGGCTGCAGCAAAGCCCAGCCGAAGAGCATGTTTTCCCGCTCTTCCTGTTCCTAACTCTACCGTTCTCTGCCTCCTTTTCTTTTCTGTTTGTTTTCGTTCTCTCCCTTTACAAAGCATATAATTATGAAGGTGGCAATTCTAGATAAAAATATGTATATATTCAACTATTTAAAAAATAAAAAATCAGATTACTGTTATTCAATGCTGCAAGTCCAAGGATGTTTTTCTTGTTTTGGAGACAAATTGAGGATTCAGTGTGTCCCAACCATCTGACTCACAGCCCTGAGCAAAGCGTGTCCTACCTTTGGACACACGGTGTCATTGTGTGGTGAGGAAATCTGGCTTGAAGATACAAAATACCAACTCCTTCGTTAAATGGGATGGGTTTCCAGCAATGCATCTATTTACCTACTTATTGACCCTGAAGGTGTGAACTCTGTCAATCGTCTTAAAAGTTTCAAAGCCGATTGTGGTTGAACTCTTATTTCTTCTATTTTAGTTAGATCTTTGGAAGACTAAATAGTGCCCAATTACAAATTTCTTCTCCTTTTCATCACATGATATAAGATGCGATTTATTTATTTATTTATTTAAGAGTTTAATTCCATGAAGCCCAGACCTGATTACTGCCTGCAGACTCAAGAAATCATTTAAACAGAACCTGATTGACAACACGAATTAGGCCAAAAGAATAACACATCAATCTAAAGAAATTCAAAAATAAATCTGAAACAAACTCACTGGCATCTATTAGTCTGGAAGGAGCTATAAACCCATTTCTAAAGGACTCCACCCAATTTTGGCAGTTTCATGTAAAAAAATATATATATATTTCAAGATTTATCCAAAAGGACACAAAAGAACCAAGATCGGCATCTAAAGAAATTGAGTAAAAATGGCTGCCATGGGAGCTCCATGGCCAGATCCGATGCTGACCAAAGGAACACAGAGGCCCGTTTCATAATAGCCAAAAATCCGTCTTGATGACACTCAACACTTCTGGGAAAATATTCTGAAACCCAACGGGATGAAAGTGGAACTCGTCTTGTTACATCTGACTTAAAACCAGCAAAGACTTTCACAAAAAAAAGAAAAGGTAATGTCAGTAAAACATGGTATGAAGTGATTATAATGTATATTTACAGTGAAACTCGGTGGCGGTTTTGTCCAAATCCTGACGGCAGTTTTAGTCGTCTTGGGTGACGTGACCACTCATTAGGTTTAGGCGGTAATGGAACGAGGTTGGTTTTGAATTCATGTTACTTTTGTCTGATATTACATTTTTCGATGACTTATAACCATAGCATGTCACTTTAAATCTACTTTGTCCATTGATAGCGATGTGTTGGGCTCCCAATTCAACTTTTGCACAGGCCCTGGACACGTCTTGTGTTTCGCAAACGATTACCATGGCTAACGCAGATCCTAAAACTTTCCTTTTAAGGTGCATTTATCCCTATTTTCACCTGCTAATTGATTAGTTGCATGAACTAAAACTTTTGGGTTAGAATAAAGATATGTTTGTATAAAACCTATTTATTCACCAAGTAGAATAATTCAGCATACCTTGCAGGCTGTGGCCAGGATACACCCACCTATACAAAGGCCAACATTTGCAAGAGCTCCTGAAAATAAAGGTGTACTTAAAATAATTATGTGGGATGTTTTGCTTAACAAGAGCTATGTTTTTGGTTACTGAGAAACAGAAGGCGAATGCACGCGACTAATAACATTTGTTGTTTTTGTTGTTTTTTGTCAAATTTGTTTCGAATCAAGGAGAGGTTTGTGTTAAAAATAGTTACTAATACTCAGAGGTTTTGCACGTGGAAATTCGGTGCGGCCCTGCTCTGACAATTTCATCTTCGGCGGAAATCTCCATAACTTGCAGAGCTCATTATGCCCAACATGGTGTTTTGTAACAAAAAAAAAAACACAAGGATACTCAAGTTTTGACAAAATGTAAAGCAGATGCCGAGGTGGCAAATAAACTCCTGCCCGAGAGATAAGACGAGCAGAACTGTCTTGATTCTGCAACAGCGGTTGCTACGTTTGAGGACAGCGTCAAAGAGGATTGTTGCAAAAAAAAAAAAAAAAGTTGAAAATGGCACTAAAAATATATGAGCTCACTAGTAAATCCCGCGGACAGTCAGAGCCAGTGTGAGATATCATGAGAGGAGCTCTTTCTCTCACACTCTCTGTACTTGACTCCTACACACACTAGTATCAACAGGAAAGAGACAGCCAATGAAACTAATTGGGTGGTGTGTGCCTTATGAAAAGAACAGTCTGTACTGTCCTCGACTCCCTCCCACAGCTCTCTGACTGGCTGGAGGCTAAGTGGTCTGCTTTTCTTCACTCTGCCGTGATTGGAGCCCGGGAACGCCAATAACTAGAAACTGTTTTTTCCCTCTCTTTTTCTCCCCCCACACCCTGCTCTCCTCAGGACATACCCTTGTTGTTTTTTAACTTCAGACTGAAGGGATTCAGCAGTCACGGCCTGCACTCTGCTGCCGCTTCCACGCACAAAATGCACGCCTTTTTGTGATCTATTAAATCTCTGAACTTAATTTGAACTTCATGGAAGAGTTGTCAAATAGTAACGTCTGTCTGGTCAGGACAAAAAGTCACATCTCTCGACTAATGTAGCGATTAAATCTTACTTTTTGTTCACACCGAATGGTGCTTCCAATAAGGTAAAATATGCAACAGCGATTATTTGACTCAGTTTTATTTATTCATCTTAAAAAAAAAATTGATGATGATGATGATGAAAATATATATTTACAAGAATGCACAAAATGTTGCTTTGGAAAGCTAAACATTAACCCACAAAAAAGACATAAATAAGTTAGTATAGCTTTACAGTGTTTTTTTTAAAAAAAATAAAATAAAATAAAAAACACTTCAAAGTTTTACACAAAGTGAATGAGTGTCACTTTGTATTTCTGCCCTCACTTAAATGAGAAATGAATAGTGCAATTAATTACATGTTCCACATGAATGTCACACCACAAACACCATTCTCTGATTCACATATTTGCATAAAGAAAAAAAGCCCAGTGGTTTTTAACAAGTCTTCCCATCTATGTTACCCTGGACCACACCTACCTATGGAGGGGGGAGCGAGTATGTCACTGAAACGGAAAGTCACCGAATTTAACAAAATAAAATTTTTTAGAAGATTATTTGCAAACATTTCTTAAAAAAAAAAAAAAGAAAGGAAAAAAATGGTGGAAATTACTCAGCAGTTTTTAAGAATTTGAAACCCCACCTCCCTCCCAAACCTGATCCCATTTGGAAAATGAAATGAAAGAAACTGAAATAGAATGAAAACAGGGGAAATAAGAAGACTGTAAACTTTTATCTATCATGGCGGTTCCCAGATTCATGGAGCCTCATCTTACACAGTGCGGACCAGGTGGGGCCTTCAACATCAACACTGTAGAAAAAGTTAACATTTTTGCTTCCATGTGACCCTGATGATTGAAATCTGCATTTCTCTCGCTCTCTCATAATATTAATAATAATAAAAACTTACATGAAATACCTGAATAATGACACAAATTAGCATTTTTGTTTTATACTAAATAACTTTCAAATTTCTCTGATGGGAATTGCACTGCAAGTCCCTGAGTCAAACTCAAACATACACACATTTACACAAAAAAAAGGTATGAAAACCAATTATTTGCTACATCTGAAACATAGGTAGTAGATATATATATATATTTATATATTTTCAGATATATATATATATATAAAATATGAGCAAAATTCAATTTGCACACTGCTACATTGTCTGCTGCTTTTGAGGCAATTTTATAATAGAAAAAAATATGAGTGCCAAAAGTCAATAGTGTACATATTCAGTGCTTGTGCAGCCTTCTGATCCTCCTCCCTTCTTTCCGATAAAGCTGCTTTGTTTCTCTCCTTGTCTTCTGTCAGATGGGGAGGCAGCCTACAGCGGGCAGGTCTCAGCACTCTGTGGGACGCAGAGGAAACGGGCCGGTGATTCACTTAATGCGTGACACTACTGGCGCGTTCACGCACAGCACATAGCGAGGAAGCATGGGGAAGTGAAGGCGTTTGAGGGGGGGGGGGACTTAAGACATGAGAGTGAGTGCAGATGTTTGCAGCGGTTGTGCATGCATATTTACTACTTTAGCACGCAGAATGGAGAAGAGTTGCAGCGGCCATTCAAAGCGCATTGAAGAGAAAATGGTTTCTAACCTGGCACCGTTCAGCATGGGACCTCCTCCTCCTGCTGCTGCTGCTGCTCTGCCTGGCTTCCTGCACCGAGCGCCTGCTCTTCATCGTCGTCTTTGTCGGAATGCGACTTTTTGCTGTTCGTCGTGCAATCGTCAGAGCAAAGACCTGCGAAACCAAAATCGATGAATGCATAACGTGCATAATAATAATAATGGTGAAAAAGTTTGCACGGAGGAAACGCCTCCACTTTTTTTCAGATCGAGAAAAAGTCCGAAAAATAAATCAATACGAGTTTACCTAAAAATGTCACCGCATTAGCAATAAAAGTAGAAAAGCAAACCGCTGATTAAATTACTGTCATTTCTTCCTGTCTCATCTATATATCTATATCTATATATCTATATATATAAGCACATATATATTTTTTTAAAGAATGTTCATTTTAAATGCATGACAGTTGCAGTGAAAGAAGTGAGATTTCTCACCTGCGGATTCCGAGGATCGTTTCCGCGAACCGTTAGTGCGAGCCGACCGCCTCTCCCTCCCGGTCTCCGGGCCGCCGCCGCCCGCTTCGCCCCGGGGCGGTTGGTTCCCTCGGGGCGGCCGGCTCCCCCGGGGCGGCCGGCGGTAGAACTCCGGCGCGTCTTCGTCCTCCTGCCAGTCGAAGAGCCCCGGCGAGAGCGGCCTGTCCTCCACCGGGTCGAAGTTGTACGCGTCCCTGAAAGCCTCCTCGGACTGCCGCTGCACCGCCTCCGCCTGCTTCCGCGTCTCCTCCGGGTCAGGTGTGCCGAACAGCACCCTGCGGACCGACCTGGCGCTGTCCGGCGGCCGCGCGTCCACCCGCTCCACCGTGGGGCTCGCGTTCGAGAGGCGAACGTCTGACATGTTGTTGCACATATGACGAGAGAGAACGGAGGAGGAAAAAAAGAAGAAAAAAAAAAGAAAAACCCCGCAGGAAAAGGGAAGAAAAGGGGAGGAAAAAAAAAAACAAGGTGTCGGTCCCTTTAAAAACTGCTATTCCAAAGTAGTACTCCCTCCAAATACAGTCACACGAGCGACGCACGCATCCTCCGCGACTACCATCCAAATTACGCCTTAATAATAAAACACAAACAAAACAAAAACCCGAACTGTCTCCAGAAACGGGGGTGTTTTTTTTCTCTTCTTCTTCCCTTCACGCAACCACTCCTGTCAGGTTCGTAGTAAAAAAAAAAAGCCCGATGAAAACAAGTCAAGCCATAACAGCCAACATGGCGTTAAAGAGAGATGTGAGCGAAGGAGGAAACTTGACTATTTAAACAGAGAAGCGATTCGTCAGGCTGGAGCACCGCCCATAACGCGGCAGTGGGAAACAACTGCAGCGCAGAGCAGAGAAGTGGTGCAGAAGTTTGGAGCGGAGGGAGCTGCTGCTTTTCTTTTTTTTTTTTTTTTTTTTTTTTTTTTTTAAAAGGTGGAAATCTGAACAGTGTGGCGTGCAAGCACACTTAAGCTGCTTGTTTTTCAGAGGAGGTAGTTTTGTCTGGACCTTACCTGTTTAGGGGCTCAGAGTTGGGGAATCCAATCAGATTCAAATAGATGGGAGTTTGACACATTTGCGCAATTTCGCAAGGCTCTGCGTTTCCAGCAGCACCTTCTAATCAACACACGTGCATGTCTTCACGCTCCTGCAGGATGAAACGGGCAGTAAACGCAGCAGCAGCAGTAGTACTAGTAGTAGTAGTAGTGTAATGAAGTGTCACCCCGGGGCAGGACGCACTATCACGTGAATCAATCACTTTTTTTATTTAAAGACCCCTGGTGTCACAACCTCTATTTAAGCGGCGGTAACTCTGTTAAGGCCGGGGGGCTTTTAGGGTCAACTCTGGCGCAGCTCTTCCACGAGAAGGACCAGGAAAAAATAAAATAAAAAAAAAAGCTCTTCACCTCTGCCATGACATCAGCTGTGGAGCCGTGATGTCACTGTTGGCTCGGTGCCTATCGCTGTGAGACTTTGGCACTGGTGTGGTTTGTGTGCTTCGCTGGGTGTAATTGCTGATGTGGGTTTAAAATTTAAACACCGAGAGGAGAAAAAGGGAGAAGGGAAGGAGGCGCGTGGGGGTGGTGGAGTGAAATTGATAGCAAACTCCTCCTCGCTGGGGATTTGTTTGCGATCGCTTTTGTAACAAGTGAATAAAATCAGCAAAAAAAACTGTCTCGCGCAAGTTTTACAATGTCCCAACATCCACTCCCCGGTGATTATCATCTGGATTCCTCTGCAGCTTTCTGCCAGTAAAAGGGGGGAAAAAAAGAAAAGGGAGAAAAAGAGAGGGAGAGAGAGAGAGAGGCCTGCCTTCAAGGCCATGCTGTTTCAATTAACCCTCGCAGAGTCTGAAAACATCTCGTGATGAAGGCAGCCGGAGCCATCTGTTATATAGATGTTATCGGGTTAGGATCACACTTAATCCATAATGTGCTTGTGCTGCTGTAAACGTGCGCACGGCCCCGCACTGCAGCCAGAGCCAGGGCCGGTAATGGACCTTTGACCGGCTTCGGTTAGATGAGGGGCGGTGGGCAGGGAGGCAGGAGGGTGGGGGGTGTAAGCGGCGAGGCGGGAGGACAATCGGTTACGGCCTAAAAACGCAGAACCGACGGAAAATATTCCTCTCCGGGGACAAAAAGGAACTGGAATGACACCAAAGGACGAATCCCAAAACTTCTTTTTAGTCCAACTGAGGAACTTTGTGTTGTTTGACATTTATTTAAAAGTTACACACAAGTGCAATAGGTTTAGTGAAAAGATGACTTATAAAATGTACTGCTTGACCTGGATTTTTTTTATTTAAAGACCCCAAGCTTCTCCAACATCATGATGCTGCCACCACCATATTTCACCACAAGAATGGTTCTTATGGTTCAAGGTGGACTTACCAGTTAGGTGTAAAGTGGGCTGAAAACAAACAAATCCCACATTTTTCAATCGAAACCCTTGTTTGTTTGTGCTTTTTTTTTTTTGTTGTTCTCCATTAAACAAAATCTAAATGCATGTTTTTGGTTTGACGTAGATAAAACTGTCGAATGGATAAGAATTATTTGAAACATTTCTACATATTTTCAACCAGTAGACAGTGACAGCTGGTGTCCTTTGACATAAAGGATGCTTTTGAATTTCAAATTAAAAGCAGGACCAGTTGCATTTTCTGTGACTCGATACGGCTCTCGCACAATCCCCACCGGTACGTCTAGTGCCGAACGTTTTGTTCCACAGAAAGTACAAGTTCTGTTGCAGTCTGGTGAGCGTGTTGGAGGACCTCGTGTGTCATGAGACGGCGGACTTTGAACTCTGCTTCTTCTTCGCCAGCTCGGCCCGAACCTGATGGGGGAACTGGTCCAGGTGCTCGTTCACGCACCGCATGCAGAACCTCTTGGTGTAGAACAGGCTGCAGTCCTGCACAAAAGAAGAAGCACAGCACGTCCCTTTCACAGGTCTTCGGATGGTGTTTGCATGACGCAGTTGCAAAATAGCTCTTTATTAAACCACTTGTGCATCCGGGAGTTAATGACGAGCGAAAACCTGTGCAGTTTTATGATGCTTCAACGAAAGCACCCATACCTCTCTATTGAAATTTATATAACAATAAGTATATAAGGAATGTAATTAAAGGAAAGTAATTAAAGGAAAGTAAATGTAACCTGGGACAAATCAATAGATTATTGTATTCATATTTTATCAGACAGGTGTTTGTGTCTTACCGGTCCAACACAGACACACATGTTGCACAGGCTGCATGCAGATCCCAACACCAGAAACTTCTCCTTATCCGGACTGAATGGATCCTTAGCCACAAAACATTCCTCGAGCAACCTGGAAACAAGGTCGAAACAGCACCCAGGCTTCAATTACACTGAACCTATCTGTTCTTAAAAGCGCTGCTAAAATACAAGACACAATTAAGATCATAAGGTGCCCTGAATACAACACAGAAAGTGAAGGATTTACTTTCTGCACACAAACGCCACACAGAAGCTGAAGCGTTGTTAGCTTTTAGCACAAGCTAAGCACCGTGCCACCTCGCAAATGAGTGTTTACCGTGATTTCAACTTACACAATGGCTCTGGTGTTGGGTGGTTTCTGGCCGTAGTAGGTATATGAGGTGCTCAAGCCGCACAACTGGCAGCTGAATGAGTTTTGAGGCGGTCCAGTCGCAGTTTGCTCCATTGTTTAAAAGTGACAAGTTGGTTTCGGTGGAAACCCATCCTGTTGTGTGAGCAAGTAGCGCCACCAACTGGACTGGGGGTAATAAAACACCGTGGTGTAAAGCCCGTGTTCTTAAAAAAACAAGAAAACAAAAAACGTGATTATTAGTGGTTTTTGTGATTTATTTGAATTTTGATAATATGTCAGTTGGGTCTTTTATATACCTAGCTATCAAAGAAAACAGGAACTACATGAAACTTTATTTACTAAATCAATTTTTTTATACATTTATATTACATGTCAAACCTTTTATTCACGTTAGCAGTATTCTAAGTTCCTAAAAAACATTCGTGTTGTAATTTCTTTCATTAGCACTTTTAAGAGCAGCGAAAACTGATGGAAGTACTTCACAGCTGAGCCAAACAAAACAATAAAATGCATACAGAGTAGAAAACGAACTGCATCGCAGTAAAAAGAAACATTGTGTTCCCTAAAAATTAGCCAAAGGGCAACATGTACAAGATAAACAGCGGTGGATTCAAAATGGGCCCCTGGGAGCCCCAAAATGGTGAGGAACCACAGAGCAGGAATAATCCCTAACACGAACGGAAAAACTATCATATGTGAGACACGACTTTAACAGAGTCTGTAAACGCAGGTTATGCAGATTTGTAATGAGTCTAGACGGTTCATATCTGACAATATGGAGATGTGTAGAATGTTATAGTTATTTATTTTTACAAACAGAGAGCATTTGATATGTCTGGATGAAATGATAGGTAATTACTGAACAGGCTGGTTTATTTACATTCGAGATCCTCCTTGATAGTGTGTCTGGTGTAACGGCAAAGGAAAAGAAAGCCTGAAAAAAAATCCTGCTTTTTGAATATAATTTCATTTACAGACAAACCAGAATGGACATTTAAAAAATCTGGAACATTGCGACAATTGGGACTGCGGTTAAAAATATAATTTAAATCTTCTTAGGCATGTATCTAAATGTGAATCACAGCACTGCAAAAAACAAAACAAACATTCTATATATTTATTTATATTGTACTTCTACAGAATAATTACTTTACAGAAAGAATTGCAAGTACTGTATATGTTTTTAGAAAATAGAATGTAAAACTTAATTACAAGATCAACTCAAAGTCACAGATGAGAAAATAAGGCATCGATATTGGTTATTTGGCAGCCGCCTTACTGTCCTCCCGTGTCGTCATTGGATTCCTGATATATTTACAAAATACTGCATGGCCCAGTTTAACAGATGAGTGTGTTTTTAGTGCAAATATTTAATACTGGCCAGTGACTTTAAATCACAGGACTCACAAAGACATGCTTTTACTCTGCAGTTTAAAAATGCCAGAAAAGCTTATGGGCAACCTAAGCTGAGGTCTGAGTTTTCAAGCAGCACCTTGAAAGATTCATATAAACACGTAACATTCGACATTGTCATGTGTAGTGACAATGTCTAAATATGTGTGTATAAACACACACGATAAATAGCACTATTCTAACCCCGCCTAAGGACATCTATGTTTCATATCGTTAGGCTTTAATCAGTGCATGCACGGCTTGAAGAATGTGCGGATAATTGAACTGCACTGTCAATTCATTAACAATAATGTGAACTCCAACTCATTTCGTCAATACATGTCTCTGTAGATTTCCTGCAGGAGCGGGTGCAGTGACGTGTCCTCTGTTGTCTTGATGTCCTGAACCAGCTGAGCGTGCTCCGTGACCAGTTCCCGGAGGTCAGCCAGCTTCTGCAGCAGCCTGGGGAAGAGGAACGCGTCATCTGGATGATTGGCCAGCAGGTGGAGCCGCAGGGCCTGGATGATGCTCTCCTGCAGCTGCTCCACTGGCGGTACATCCACCAGACCTGGACGGTCTGAGAAGGAAGAATGGTTCAGTGGACGTTCATTTTTCAAAATTAACCTTATATTTAAATCATATTTAGTTTGAATTGGAAGCTAGTATTTAGCTTGGTGCTAAATATTTAGCTAGCTCACAGCTAAAGGTTTAGTTCGGAGCTGCTAGCTATGTTGCTAATGTAAATATTTAGCTAGAAATGAAATATTCACTCCATATTTAGCACTGAGTGAAATATTTAGCATGATAATCAAGTATTTAGTTTGAAGATTAATATTTAGCTTGATAATTAAGTTGGTAGGCTAAGTATTCAGCTCCAAACTAAATATTTGGCTGGCTCAGAGCTAAGTATTTAGTTTGGAGGTAAATATTTAGCTTACGAATGAAAATATGATTTTGAAATGTTTTGTTCTCATTTCAGGCTTAATAACCCAAATTATTGTTAATTTTGGACTGTGTACCTTTAAGAATGCCTACCCATAGAGTAGCAAAAAAATGGATATGCTCCAAGAAAATACTGAATAAATGCTTAGAACAGATAAATGTGTGGATGTGCCAAAACTTTCTCCAGCTGAACAAAAACAAAACTGAAGTCATTATTTTTGGACCTAACGGGGAACGATCTTGAGTCAATGCACAGCTTCAGTTATTACAACTAAAGACTAGCGATCAGGCCCGAAACCTGGGAGTAGTGATGGACTCGGACTTGAACCTTGCGAGCGACATAAAGACAGTTACAAAGTCAGCCTTCTATCACCTGAAGAACATCTCCAGCATTAGAGGACTAATGTCTCAACCAGATCTAGAGAAACTCATCCATGCGTTTATCTTTAGTCGCATTGATTATTGCAACAGCGTCTTCACAGGCCTGTCCAAAAAATCAATCAAACAGCTGCAGCTGATCTCGCTAAAACCAGGAAGATAGAGACATAACACCAGTTTTAAAGTCCCTTCACTGGCTCCCTGTAGCTCAAATAATAGATTTTAAAATACTGTTGTTAGTTTACAAATCACTGAACGGTTTAGTACCACAATACATCAAAGACATGCTGTTGTTGTATCAATCTTCCAGACCTCTCAGGTCTTCTGGTTCTGGTCTGCTTTGCATCCCCAGAACCAGAACCAAGAGAGGAGAAGCAGCTTTCAGCATCTATGCACCAAAAATTTGGAACAAACTTCCAGAAAACTGTAAAACAGCAGAAACCCTGACTTCCTTTAAATCTCAACTAAAAACACACCTGTTTAGAATTGTATTTGAAATGTAATATGTAACAATGTATTGTTTATTCAATGTTGCATGACTTTGTTTTTATGATGTAAAGCACTTTGAAATGCCCTGCTGCTGAAATGTGCTACACAAATAAAATTTGATTGATTGATTGATTGAAGAAGATGGAGCAAGATTACCTCCACAGCAGATGATAGCTGCCACAAAGAGAGCTAGGTCACTGTCATCCAGATCCAGAGAGTTGAAGCGAGTGGCAAACTGGAATTTGGGCTCCATCATGTCGCTGAACGGCCGCCGGAGACCTTTGAGGAATTCCCGGGTGATGAAGCCTCCGCCACGGGCCACAAGGAGGCCATCTTTGTTCATACATGAGGCCAGGAGGGTGAAAAGGGCTTCATATACTGCATATTTCAAGAGAGTCACCTTCAGATGTAAAAAGAAAAGGTGTAAAATCTGCCTAAACGTGGGCTCGCTGCAGAACAAATCGCAAGTAAATGATTCTTTCATCAACCTGATCGTTCAAATCCAAGCTCTGAAAGCCAGGCACAGCTTTAGCGAACTCTGTTAGCTCTGTGACCGTCTCCACTGAGGTACTCTGGCAGCAGTAGAAGAGCCTGGCCTCGGCCTCCCTTTGCTGGAGCTCCTCACAAACCAGCGCCGGGGTTATCTGGCCAGTTTGAAGATGAAGGTCAGGCTCCGCAGACTCGGTCCTCACCATGTGGGCCGCTAACGTCTTCTCGGCAAGCTGAAACGTCTCCATGTCGTGGATGATGAAAGGCTGTCGACGAAGACAGTGTTTGTAAGTTGTGCATAGTACACGGCTAAATGAGATCAAATTAACTCTTCATTTTAGAATGAATAGATTTCTTGGCCCAAGTTATTGGTTATTTTAATGCAATTACTATAAACTGCATAAAAACAAAAAATCTTACCAAGTATTTTTGGTCTAGTTTGTAGTGCAGCTATCTTAGTACACTTGAAATAAGACAAAACTGACTTTACAGGAACATCTAGGAGCTTGTTTTAAATAAATAATTCCTCAATATTGATTAAAAGAACATTATAAGTGAAATAATATGCCAGTGCCAGTGGGACAACACTTTCTTCCCATACAACGTAAGAGGAAAATGTCTTATAACTAGTTATTTTTCATTAACATTAAGGAACTAGTGACCTAAAACAAGGCTTGAAAAGTTACGTGTAAGTTCATCTCGTTTTATTTCAAGCATACTGAAATATTTGCGAGAGGAAATGGACCAAAAATGCTTAGTAAGATTTTGTGTTTTTGCAGTGTTTGGACAAGGAATGTATGTGGGAGGCAGCGCGTCACCGATGAGCTTTATGAGTGAGACACGAGCTGAAAAGAGGAAACTTGCATGGTTTCCTCAGTCAGTTACTCAAATCCAGATGTAAAGAACTTAAAAAAAAAAGCAGAAGTAGTCCATTCAGTATTTCATAGATTTTTAAACGTTTTCTTACTTTTAAACTAACGCTGACTGGGAAAGCCACGCGTTTCATCCATTTCCTGTGCGAACAGTCATGGTTTCTCTGCGAATAACCTTCCAACACCAACCTGATGTTGGCTTAATTTTCTTGAAATGGTCTTACAAGAAACTGGTGGGGCGTTTTGTTGACACTGGAAGATCATCCACTCTTGTTTCGGTCCCTCTCAAATGAGCTGTTAGCTTTTAAGCTCAAACTCATTTTTACTGATAATAAATGAAGACATCAAAGACTTATTTACTACAGGAGGGCACAAGAATACTTATCAGAAATCCCAAATTTTATCTTTCATTTGCAATAAAAAAAAGTGTTCAATTTTCTTCTTCTTTTACCGGCTGGCTGGTTTTTCCGGTTAGTATGAGCCGCGCTTTTGCCTTGTTCATGTTGAAGTTCTTGATGTAGGCTTCGTGGATCTGTCTGACCAGGATCTTGTGGTCGGCCTTGACCGGGTCTTCTTCTTCTGTTTCAACAACCTTGCTTTCCTCCTTGAGCTTCAGCTTCTCTGCTTGGGGCATGCGACCAAACCGGATGGCTACAGGACAGAAGAAGTCCTATGAATTTCATAGCATGCACAGAAACCGGATCAGATCATAGCAAACACAGCAAACACAAGAAAGTTTAAACAATCCCGCTCCGCGTCTCTTTTCTTAAAACGGTCATACGGCGCCTCTCGCGTTTCAACCCGCTTTTAGGGGTCCGTGCAACAAACCCGCTGACCTCCCCTGCAGTCACAGCAAGTGACGGACCAGATGTAGACCCGTACTGAACCAGCTGCAACAGGACGTGGTTCTATAAATAACCGGCGGTGTAAAGGATGTAAAAACCCGAGCTCAATCACAGAGGGACATGTCCCACCGCTGTGAAGAGAACATGCAGATTCTGGCTGAAAAAGATCTTCACTGTGATCCTAAATAGCTGCTTTCATAAATCTTACAGTTATTACATCTGAGCATGTTTTCTTTGTTTGTTTTTTTCCCAGTCTGCTGTGATGGGAAATGCAATATAGTTTGTATAGCTGTTATACAAAATAACGTCAAACTGTTTGCAAAATTGAATTAAAACTGCACCAACGTGTCTACGACACCTTTCCCTTTCCTTCCCGATCCATATTGACACAACACAGCATGGGGCGACCCAGTACATGCAGCTTAGACAAAGGAAAATAGAAAACAAAACAGGAAAAAAAGCAAAACACAGCAGCTCCCAAACCAACACTTTGTTAGTGTCAAGCATATTGCTAAGCATTTGTTTCCAATCACACTTTGGGTACATCAGGGTTTTTTGTTGGGGTTTTTTTAGCACTGATACCCATATTTAATTATCCTTTTTAGTTTTACCATAGTTTTTTTTATTTTTGTTGACCTGTAATCAGAATTTTGCGAAATTCTTCAGATTTTTAAAATTATGATGCAACTCTTCTTTTTTAAAGAAGAAATGTAAATACATCAGTTATTTTCATAACAGTAAACTGATTAACAGTTTCTGTTTTGTCTTTAATATTAATCTACTGTTGTTTTTACATTTGCTGAAACAAAAACATAGAAAAACCCACATCATCTATTAGCATTATGTAGTCGTTAGTCAGGCTATCTACAGCTGGCTACATAAGGAAATCAGCTTGTCGACCGTAGCTTTTGACGCCGTTGCCACAACGTGGTAACAGTAAATGGATTTAAAACAGACTTTACCGTTGTGGGACATCCCCACAGACACACACTTTTGGAACCTGCAGTACTGGCACTTGTTTCTATTCTTCTTCAGGATCTTACAGCTGCGTTCACACTTATCGTATTCCAGCTTCAGTCTGATGGTCCTCCGAAAGAAACCCTGAGTGACACACACACACACACACACACACACACACACACACACACACACACACACACACACACACACACACACACACACACACACACACACACACAAAATGCTGATTAGACATATTTTTTTGATAAAAAATATAAAAAATAACCCATGCACATTAATACACAAACTCAATGTAGCTCTTCCAGCTTCTGGAACAAATTAGATAATTTAAAACAAGTTGGATTTACTTGAATTTCTAAAGTTGAATGATTTAAATGGGAAACACAGCAACACATAATTATTAAGTTAAAGGAAAATATAAATGTAAATCCAAAAATAATCCCCACAGCAAGATGCTGCCACCACCATGTTTCACTGAACCAAAAAGTTCAAGGATGCCTTAATTTCCACAGAAACATTTAGCAGACTATTTATCCCTTTTAGGAATTAAAAGAATAATAATATATTTTTTTTCAAATAGATCATTCCCTTTATTGTTGAGTATGGTAATCATTCTTACAATATACCAGCAGGATCCACTTATTCTGTCATTTTTACCCTCTTTTGTCTCTTTATTGTTATTATCGCAGAGGTGGAAATCAAAACCGTAAAAACCTGTAAACACCGATCTTTTAGAGAAAGCTCCCTGACTGGGCGAGACAGGATACAACCCTCCAACACTCACTCAAGGCGCCGAGCCAACACAAGCAAACATATGATCATCTGATTTACTCTCACCCGCACACATCAATGAAACATCAGTCAGGACACTCTGCAGCCCTCACTGTCAAGTAGGGAAAATGAATTTTTCTGGCAACATATCTGGAGCCACACAGCCATAAAAATACACCAGCCATCATCCTCCGCAGCGTATTGGCTGCGTTTATGCTGAGGAGCACTTTTGGCACATTGCTATTAAAGGTTATTATGTGTCGCATATCAACGTTTTTGTGTCATTTTTAACCAGAACCAGCTGGCTTTGTGGGCGAAATCATTGTGAATGCCGTTAAAGTGTGGGGGGGGGACATAAAGTTCACCATATGATAGTCATTAGAGAAGGAGTACATGACAACAAAGCTGGGGAAGGGGAGGATAAATGTGTGGTTGTGCAAATATACATGTCTGTGACTGGGGGAACAGAGGAGACCAGAGGCAAACACGGAAATTTTACATGTCGAGCGAAAAAAAAGAAAAAAAAAAACACCCTCAGTGTTCCTCGAGAGTGCATTTCTCTTTAAGAAAGTAAAAAGACGTAATTAAAAAGTTAATTAACATTTCAATTTCCAAGCCTAACAAGCCTTACCTCGGACATAACGTCTTGTTACCTCGAATTAGTGCACAGACCACATAGATCCACAATATTAGAGCAGAGAACCCCGATTTCCCTGGGTGGGGTTGGATTTCAACAAATAAAACAATCTGAAGAGCTTTCAGAACCAGCAGGCCGGGATTTTTCCATGATGGCACAACATCGGCCAGAGAAATGTGGGAGCAAAGTGCCACTAGAGTTCACCTCCAGCAGGTTCAGGCTCCACGTCACCACGCACCAAATTCGGAGCAGAGGCACTATGATACAGTGGATTACGTGCCAAAACAAGCAGCTGCTCTGACGACCAGATAAGAGCCGTAGGAGGTGAGTCATGAGACTCCCTTTTAAAGGGAGATGCACACGGCAACCTCCAAATTAAGCAGCTACAAAATCACAGGGTCCACCAGTATTACGTCTTTTTATCAAATTTTATTTCAAAACCTTATTTCAAAGCTCTGCAGGGCTTATGGGAGAGCCCACAGCATCACAAAACCTTTATAGACTAAGAAATAAATCAATTAATCACATTCTAAATTAACATGAGCTTGATAATGTCCATTCTGATGTAGGGTAAATTTGTTTAAAGGCTTTATAATCTATTTTATTCATGGTATCGGTTGCATGTTGTTCTTATTTCCTTTTTTGTTGTTGTGTTTTAGTTTGGATATTTAAAATATGGTCCAGTTCCGGTGTTGTGTGTTCTTCTAAAATAAAAGTTTAATGCTATTATCAAGATATTACTCGATAATGGCATCAAAACAAGAATATTATGGTTCATCGCGATAATTACTGAGGTAATTTATAGTCCAGCAGTACTTGTTATTGTGACAGGCCCAAACAGAACCCGTTGGTTCTTTCCCATTGTGAGGAGTGGTTAGCAGAAATGGACGCCATATTTAAACCCGAGGGAAACAGAAACATCATTACAAAAGCAAAAAGTAAAGTCAAATCTAAAAAAAGTCATTTAGGAGCTCTTATTTTGTAGAGATGTTGTAGAGAAGTAGCATGAAGCAAAATGAAAAAAGTGTCATAGTTGAAAGTGTTTTTCCCACTGAATAAAGGAGATCAAACCAAAATTGATCTCATGTATTTGTATTTTTTTTTCTGCCTGACTCTCTTGTTTCAAGTTGGTTTCAGTATAAATTTAACATCAGAGAGAAAAACTTATTTTACCAACTATGTTCCTTTTGTTTGGTGGAAACCCTCAAGATAAAAGTTTAAAATGACATGAAATAACAGCGCACAAAGATTTAGATCCAAAACAACAAATAGACGTTTTACGTATTTTTTATTTATTTTCCTCTAGGTTTCATTCGCCGACAAAGTCACACGACCAGACAAACGCTGCGGTGTTTATCCACGTCGGTTTCGACACACTCGCACAGGGATCTAATGACTGCAGCTCAAAGTCCGCCACACACACAACGTTCTCTGTGTTGAAGCTTATTAAATAATCACTCTTAGGCATCCGTCCTGAGCTGGACTGTCAACGCTGAAGACTGCGCTCCATGTGTGTGAGAGAGGTGACAAGTGAACCAAGGGCGCCACGTCCCCCACCTCACATGACCCGGCTGCCTGCACGCCTCGGAAAACTTTCCACTCAGCCTCGAGGTCAGACACCTCTGCAGGACGGGGCCGCCGTGCGCTTGGACGATGCGTGCAGTCGGCCGGTCTTGCACGTTTCCCCCCTCCCGGCCCCATGCGGTTCACTGAAGCCGGTGGCACTATGTGGCTGTAAAGCTTCCCGTTCTTCTTACCTTGCAGCCCTCACACGCATGCACTCCGTAGTGAAAGCCCGAAGCTTTGTCTGTGCACACGCGGCACTCGAGGTTAAGGGCGCCGCTACCTTCTTCTGGACAAAGCGATGCGCCGCACTCCCCAGGCAAAGGACTGGAGGCCGGAGTCAGAGTATCTGCAGAGGACAGAAGACGAAAGAAGTGGACTAAGTGGAGGATGTAGGCCTTAAAAAGAGTTTTTATTGAAATTGTACCTTTCAAGGAATGAATATACAACTTTCTCATGAAAATGAAAGAAGCATCCACTGAGCATAGCATAAAAACATCAAAGTCTTGGTGTGCTCCAGCTGAGATTCAAGTTTCAAGTCAAACTAATGTGTCCTGGAGCCTCAAATGCAATTTGAAAAGTTGTGGGTACCCCCAAAAAACAGAGCTTAACTTAGCTTTAGCTTGTTTTCCTTTTTCTCAAAGAATTATGTCAACACTGGGCACCTCTGGTAATTTTGAAAAAATAAAGCAAGTTTAAATCACTTTGGAGGTTTTATTTTTGTTATGTCTTCAACATAGTGTACCATTGCCCCTGAATGTAGCCTGGCAGCTAATGGGAAAATCCTCAAAAATGAACGGGAACGCCTTTAGAAACTGAAATTGTAGGGAGCAATGGTAAAGGTGGGTGAATCTGGAATGGTAATGAACCAGGGCCCTCATGCGTAGGGCCTGCATGCGCACAAAAACGGCGCGCCGCCATATTTTACGCACAAGTGCGTTTAAATTTACTTTGCGTCACAGTTTGCGTAAATATACGCACATTTTTTCTGTGGACGATATCAAACTACAAAGCGTCAAAGAAACTCCTCTAAACACACTGAGGTCTGACTACATTCGCTGTTATCTAGACCACGAAGCATCAAACCCGATGTTTTTCATGATTTCAATATTTTATTGTTTAAACAATGAAACTGAACCGCATTTATCCTCAGACAATAAGCTAACGCACACAAAATAAAAGAAAATAAAAATGAAAGTATGTGGAAACATCGCTCGAATGTAAATCATACTTTTTCTCAGTTTTTGTCTCATACAGATGTAACGCTTTGGTGCTTGCGCCGAAGCGCATGAAATGCATCTGTGGGGTCATTTCATTCTCACTAAAGAAGAAAACAGGGTTGGGATTTGTAGAAATACCAAACGACAGTACTAAAACAAAAGGCTCTGAAGTTTCAAGCTTTGGGCGTTGGTTCAGCGCCATTACTTACCCAATGGGATGGAGCTGCTGGGCCCAGAATCAGTGGTTTGGTATTCTGGGAAATCAAATCCCAGTGAGTCATCTTCCATTGACTGGGAAAAGTCGGGCAGATTTTCTATCAGGTCGCCACACAGCGGACTGTCCAGGAGGGATTCCCCAAGAGGCGACGGGGGGCTGTAGAGTTCGGCTGCCATGCTGGAGATCGGGGATCCAAACTTATAGGGGTTACCCATCACTCTCCAGACTGTAACAGAACGGCAGGGAAGACCAGGTTAAACAAGATCCTTAATCAAAAACAGCTGCATTTTAAACTAGATGGACAATTTTAGGAGGATTAACCTATCAACTGAAGCAAATGTTAGTAGTGCAGGTCTAGTAAGACTAAGATGGATGTAAGAACCCAGGTGAGCCCATGTACATGGGACGAATATACATGCAGAAGTAAAAACAGTATGGATATTTTGATCCTGTGAAGATTAGAGAAGGTGTTTGTTGTGTAAGAGACAGTAACCCATTTTTCCGGCCATGTGGGGTTAAATAATGCTTCCAGTCAATCACATGCTATGGTCTGTTGACGTGTGAGTCAACAGCTCATTATGTACCCATCCATTTATGTTCTTTACCTGCATAAACTTGTTCAGGATCTCAAATGATCTTGTCTTTCTGTGTTATCTAACTTCCCGTATTACTGGTCCGTCTTACTGTCTTTACAATTTGCACTGAAATGCTAGCACATCTACAGAACAGCTTTCATTCACAAACATTTCATGAGCTGACGCTGGAACACGCCGCTGCCTCTTTGGACTCTTGTGTCGAGACGTTGACAACGTGATTGATCAACGCAGGCTTGTTCCTGTTTATCTAGTCTGTGTAGCGGCAGTTCAGAAGGCAAGTCCTGGCAGATAGCTACAGTTGGGTAAAGTTAGAATGAAAGCGTGTCTGTGAATGTGGAGCGTTGTAGGACACATGAAGCACAGAGCACATGGCGAGACAGCTGTCGGTCAGCGAAGAGGCTTTGGTGTGTGTGAAGAATCTGCCCTCCGACTGACTGAGCCATCAGATTGTCAGCAGACATTTCCCGATGGCTATGTCTGGAAGCAAGTTCACAAAGTTTGCTTTGTTGCATGGTTGGCCACCCTTTACACAGCTAGTCTTGTAATGGTCAATAATCAAAGCTAATTATTTGAAAAGGAGGTTAGAATAAGAGGAGAACGCCCGTTTTGGATCTTCAATAACCAATATTAAGTAACCTGGTTGAAAGATGGCAAACTATTTACAGGGCAATAGTAAAGTGCCCTGCAGAGGACAGTGAGGGGAGCTGAGGGTCATTGGAATATTTGTAGTTTTGTACACTTTTCTGTTTACAAAATATAACAGGATATTCAGTACTAAACATACAATATCTCATACCTTTGCAGCTTTGATTGTTTAAGATCTGATTTTTTTTACAGACATATATATGCAGGGTAACCTTTGTTGCTGACAATGCGTCAATTTACTCACCATTTTGTTTCAGTTTGATCAGTGGTTGTAATTTGTTGTTTTTCATAATGGCTCAAAGTTCATCTGAACCATAAAAAGAGAGGATTAAGGTGGAAAATTATGAGATTTGCTCAATTCCTTATCTCTTCATGAAAACACTTCACGCAAACAGGAAGAGTCAAAAACTACAAACTGGCAAAACAAGTCAGCTGTTCTTTGATAAGGATCCCTTTCATACTTCTGCAGGGCTTTGAACATCAACTGGATCAGTTTTGATCTGTTTCATATGATAGATTTCTTGTTTCATCTGTTTTGTCTTGGAAGAACAGCTTTGCTTTGTTGCGTGCTACTTGATGAAATCTATTATTTCTAAAAAAAAAAAAAAAAAAAACCGGTGAGTAAAGGTCAACATCTTCCAACGTCTCTCTGCGCTGTGAAATCACCAAAACAATTCACCGGCTGAGTTTCGACCATGCTGAGTGACTATACTTCCCTTTCTCTGGATGACTCCAGCCCAGGCCTCCTGAAGTGCACTCTCCCACCCCCCAGAAAGCCATTGTGTTTTACCTCCCCTGAGGAGCACTAATCCCAGTCTGCTCTATCTTTAGCACCACAGAAGTGGAAACAGAGGCTGTGGGGTCTGATGCCTGCTCCACTCAACAAAGCATGTTACCAGATGACACAAAGGATCCTGACTGATCAACAACTGCAGCTTAAAGTGCAATCACTTGATATGTAAGATCAAAGATGGCCGAGAACAGAACCTATGTGATCTTAGTGTGTCCTAAATTCTGCCTTTTGTGTATTTTTATCTTTTTGCTTATTTAAAGAATGATAAAGAGGAATAACTACATCAGAAACTCTAAGGCAAAACGTTTTGGTGCAAGTTAGCAGCAAAGTTGAAAATCTACAAGAAGCAGGCTTACTAGTCTAAAATCGTCACCAGTTTAATGATTAAGTTAATGAATTACCTCAGCCGCTGCCACTCGAAGTATTTCCAGATTATGTCGAAAGTCTGCCGGAGACCAGATGAGTGAGTGAGTGAGTGAGGGAGGGACGTGTTTTGGTCCTGTGACCGGATCCGTCAGGACCTTGACGCGTCACCTCTTCCTCCTCCCTCCGCTGTCAAAAGCCGCGGGTCTCCTCCCCCAGGAAACGCCCCCCTGACACACCTATACATCTAACCAATCAGATCGAGCGAATGGAACTTAATAGAATATGATCTATGCGCGTCATTAAGCGTGGCAGAGACGGGCCTAAGGGGAACCAAAACTGCCACAATTCAATGAAACCCATAAACAGTTTGAGCAAAACTGGAAATGAATGCAGTGAACCTATGGAGCACCCTAAGTGTCGCAATTCAATATAATGCATAAGTAGGTTTAATAAAACAGAAAAGCAATGCAGTGAAAATACGGACAAAACTGCCCAAATTCAACAAACACATTATTACTTTAACTTAATTAACTAATATTACAAGTAAATCCATTGCATTTTAAACTAGTTAATTTGAGATAAGTCACAAAACTCTACATCCTCATTTCTGATTAGGTTGCATGGTTACTATGTTGCCTTAATTATGGAGGACCAAAAATGCCAGTTTAATTAAACTGGAATAAAATACAACATACATTTTTGACAGAATTTAAATACATAAATAATTTCTGGAGCGCAAAACCCCAAACAATTTGTAAGCGACTTATTATTCTTAAGAAAAGAGCAAATGGAAAAAAAAAAAGAGGAAAATCCAATGAATAATTTGACAAAATATGCATAATTACTCAAGTATTGTGGCTATTTATGGAGAGAGGGACTAATTACAGTTTAACAAATTACTGTTTACAAATGTTAGAATTTAAATAATGTTGTAAATACATATATCTGCGTATTATCATTTAAGTGGTACATTTATGGAAGTCCAGTAGTGCCAACTTAGTTATTAATTCAATAAAAACTGGTTATAGAAACATTAAATGATCAAGTAATTTTAAAGTAATTGGATAATTATGTAATTAATATTGTTTTGACTACATTTGAAGCATATTTTATTCAAATATTTACTTCTGGCAAACAATGGCATAAGCAATTATTTTAGAAAGGCGATAGCTACATATCTTGGATTGCGGCACCTTTGGCCCTCTATACTTGCAAAGCAATTTTCGCCATTTGAACAGTATTTCTATACTGTGTAATTGTCACTACTCTCCTGATGGTTCCAACTCTTATGCCATTAGTGTTAAGAGTCATTAAGCAAAATCATTAGTGCAGATGACACCGATTGAGTGGAAATGCCCTCGCACCACGGACAGCGTCTGGCGCCATCTACTGTGAAAGAATGCATGGCAACGATTCAAACGTGTCCTCATCCCATCCTGGGATTTAAACTGCAAACCTTTTGGCCGTCACCTTTTCCTGTTGACTTCCAAACGCCTGCTAGGCTTTTGGAAGCTCGGTGGGTTTTAAACAAAGAGGTGGGTGTTTCTGCCTGGGCTTTGTTTTCGCATTGAGAACCCTGCTCAGGTTCTGACGAGCGCGTGTCGGACAAATCTGGACTTTTTTAAAGCTGTAAATCCACATATGATCTTTTGGTAAAATATGTAAAATCTCATCTTGAATGTTTGACTTTTCATCCTTATCTTTGATTTGAAACCTGGAAATGAATTGCTTGAACAGATGGGTAATACAAAAAAAAAAAAAAAAAAAAGGCAGATGAGGAGATAAGCTTCGGAAGCCTGTTAGATACTGTGGGTATTTTGTTATATAATGAGCTACTTAAAAGGGATTACATGGCAAGATTTCAAGGAGAAAATATTTCAATAATTAGCTTTGATGTAGAGAGAAGACCCGACTTCAATCGTTTTTTGCAGTTATGCCTTTATTTAATTAAGAAACACATAGCGAATCAATGAATACACCCAGCACAGTTTTTGTACAATCTGTACGAGGAGTCATGTTTCAAGGAAAACGCCTGATGAAGCAGCATCACTTACCGATTCAGAGACGAGTTGGAAACTGAATACCAGTCATGTGCCAAGTGTTTTAAGGGTCATTAGAAAGATGATAAAGAGGTTTGCGCTCCTGTGATGTATTGCTGCCCTCCAGGGAAGGCAGTAGGTTGTATAGTTAGCTCCTGATGGGGCAAAATCACAACCCTGAAACCACACAACCTACTACCTCACCCTGTGCGAACACCATGAGTCTCCAGACAAAAGACGTGAAGCAAAACGACCAGAAGGGAAGAAAGTCACAACAATATTGATGCATTTACAAACAGATTTGGTAAGCAAATAGAAGAGAGCAAAACAAATCAACAGGACGCACACAGATGATCACGTTTTAGAAAACGGGATATTCCTGTAACTCTGCAGGACGTCTCGGTGTGCCCTGATAACGACGCCATCACAGTCACTTCAGGAAAGACAGTAAATTGTATAGTCATCTGACAGCTTGGGAATGACCCTAAAACTATACAACCTACTACCTCACCCCAAAGGACAGTTTGTCTCTTGCTTCTGCTGCTTGTAAATCCTCTGCAGTTCAACCTGTGGAAACATCAACTTGAAACAACAGACAGACACAAGATAAATGTAACTAATTTTAACCATTAGTTACAGGGCCGGCATCTGGGCGTCCTCGATTGGCATAGAAGAAATGATTTGTCTCTAATTGTTGCTGCAATTAAAACAGCAACTGCAGCAACACTTGTTGCTGCTCACCTGCATTTTTTTTTCTGTGCTTAAAGGAACGTAAGACAACAATCCCAATCGCAAAACAACTGACTCATAAAGTGGAAAATAAAGAAGAATCACTCAATTAAAGTTCTCAAAGTACAAGCAGCATGTTTGCCAAGTAGCCAAACGTAGGCCAGCTACAAGAAGAGACACCTTGCTAAAAATGATTTAGACATTATAATTTTAATCATGAATAAACCTCATTATTTTTCCAGCAATTGGAGTGTTTTGTTTCTTTTAATTCTTACCAAAGCATTTTTACTGCATTTTACGTAAATATGCTGAAATCCTCAGTTATCAGGTTGTTAAAATGTCCTACTTTCACTTAAGTTCACTTAATTTGTTACCCATCTAATGTTTTGAATCCAGAGTCCACATCAACGTGATATAAACTAGAAAAATTATAATTCCAAAGTTGTTTAAAGTGTTTCCCCCTCCCCTCATTAATCTGATTATATCGGCAGTGCTTGTTCCATGCTTGAACCGGTTAATGTGAAGATGTTTTCCCTTTTTTTCCCCCCCTCCCCGAGTCAAAAGTGTAATTTAACATAGCTGTCTACTTCCTGCACGTCACTTGGGAGTTTTTCAGGTCACTTCCCCTCCACAGTGTCAGGTCTGAGCGCTCCCTCCATCGGCTCGCCTCGTCTCTGGTTTCCTCAACCTGAAACTGACAAAACGAGAGGAGAGAGTGAGCTGCTGTCGGCTCCATTCCAGACTTTCGCTTCCTATCTGACGCGGGAGCGCTAACGTGGCCGCCTGCGCGCGCTGAGGTGAATCCAAGGGTTCGGATGTTTGCAGGGGGTGGGAAATATGTGGGAGATTGCCCAAAGCAGTCTGTTCGGCCGTGTTTGTCAATGTTGCGGGTATTGATGGAGCAGATGGGTGTAAATATGCATTTCTGAATGTGCATGAGAGGTCACACTGACAGGTTGTGGTGGCTGCAGGGAGTTTCCTGAGTGAGAAGGAGCTCCGAGGCTGTGGCTCGGCTGCGGTTTCCCTCTTCGAGTTGGCGAGCGACAGGAGACTGAGGCAGGGTCGAACTTATAAAAGTGACTCACTGCATTAACCCCTCTCTCGCGCACACGCATGCACCGGGTTGCGGCTGTTTTATAGCAGGTTCAGTTATCCCATAAATGCCACCCAAATCCCCTGAATGAGCCACTTAACGTCCAAGCCTGTGAGGTGCACAGCGGACCCGAGCGGTTCGCTGCCGAGGCCGGACGCTGTCGCGCAGAACCGTCTTCATCCGGTAATACAAAAGGCCGAAAGATCGAAGGAGAAAAAGAAAAAATTAAGAAAAAAAAAAAGAAATTAAAATCTTGAAAATATGACAGTTTTTGTTTGTTCTTGTGAAACGCCAACGTCCTGCTGAAAACTGTAACTTCGAGTTACTGTTTCAAAATATACTTCCTCCAAAAAGTCATAGCCCACTTATTATGTGGATGATTAGAAAGTAAAAAAAAACATTTTATACTTCTGCATAAAAATTCTATGGGTTGAAAGTGTTTGCATAGTAGTGGAGTTTTTTTTTCTCTGCAAAAAAAAAAAAAAAAAGAAGCAAAACATGAGGCCGGAGTTGGTTTCTGATTTGTCACTCGGCTAGAGGGCACACTATTACAAAAAATAAAAATAGAAAATCCAAAAAAAAAAAAAAAAAAAAAAAACTGTGCTAACGGCTTTTTCACTGCTTCTCAGTATTTACACCAACTCAGATCAGCTCCCTTTTAATGCTCAGAGATTCATTGAGGAAGTTTGTAAATTTATCTAGAGATGAAATGGCAGTGAAATTGACTTTTGTTGACAATAAAGTTAAAACTGGAGATAAACCTTTCAGTCGGTCAGAGATTATTATCCACCAATTCCTTCATCTGCTCTAATTGCTGATCGGCAGTTCAAATTCGAGGAAACTTTTTTTTCTCCTTTTTTTTTTAATTCGTCGAATTCAAAGACTCTAAAGTCTCCAACAATATTCAGTCCATAAACGCATCACCCAATCGCATCAATTTTAATGCTTGAGTGATAACATCAGGTGTGTTTTAGGAACATAATTAGAATAATCTACTATTTCCTTTTATCATATATATATATATATATATATATATATATATATATATATATATTATATATATATCTATATATATATATATATATATATATATATATATATATATATATATATATATATATATATATATATATATATATATATATATATATCATATTTTATCAATGAATGTCAGAAAATAACATGCCACTTTAAGAATAAATAAATGAGTTTGACTTTGTTGTTTGTTTTTAGAAAATGGGATAAAAAAAATTTCTCTGCTCAGTTCCATTTTTCCAATACTTGCTTCTTTTATTTAAAAAAATAAAACAATCTCTTTTGCTTTTATAAATGCACACTTAAAGAGAACATCGTGGCACCTAGGGAATTAAAATGAAAAGCAAACCTTTTGGAGCCAAAGTTGTTAATGCGACTGACTGAATGAAATTGTCACAAGGTCGTTAAAAAATTAAAAGTTTTGTGCACCATAAAGGCTTTCCAGTCGCTCTGCGTGTAGTTGACCCAAGCCGCCAACAGGTGTCATGTCTCCCCAAGAATGTAAAGGGGAGCCTGTGCAGAGCAGCGGCGCTCGCTCACAATGAGGCCTTTGTGCAGTTCCGGGGTGCAGGCCAGCGTGCACTCGTGTACAGTTTCCCTCTAATCTTCATTTGACCTTTAGGCTGAAGGCTTTTCTTTCCCCTATTCTCCCCCACGACTAATTTCCCTCCAGGAGATTATCTTGACGCTGCTGCACATGCTTACCAATACATGCCGACTTTGACGAGTCGCTCGCTGTTGTGCACCGCGAGCGACTTTGTTCAGCAAATTAAAGGCAAACTGGAAGTTGTGTTTGTATGCCTGTAGGCAGCTCTGAACAAAAAGCTAAATAATGCAAATTTGCAAACGTCAGTGAAGCCAAGAGGCTATCAGGAATCTGACAATTCAGCAACACACACACACACACACACACACACACACACACACACACACACACACACACACACACACACACACACACACACACACACACACACAAAATGAATGCAAGCTCCCAGCTTTAAAATAGCAACACAATTTTAGAAAAATACGTTCAACTAACCTCAACTTTGACGTCCAGCCAGAAAAAAATGAGTAACTTCTAAATAATGAGCCTGTGAATGAAAGAGAAGAGTAGAAATAAATACACACACACACACACACACAGACACACACACACACACACACACACACACACACACACACACACACACACACACACACACACACACACACACTGATAAACACTGGGCTTTTGAAGCATTTATGCAAAAACACAATATGATCACACACACACGCACACACACACACGCACACACACACACACAGCAAGGTGTGTCTCTAGTCCTCAGATCATAAAGCTGCCAAACAGCTACTTGAGTGAGCCATTAGTGCTGATGGTACATATGTTACAGAGATCAGCATGATGCAGCTGAATTTAGACTGGAAGGCTTTATTACTGCACTGTGGACTGGCCAGTGTTAAGGAGCCTTATAATTATGTTTCACTCCAGAAAATTTCCTCTGTAGCAGCAGAATGAGTTTAAATCCTGACTACTTAAAATACATAAAAAGTTATTTAACTTGTTTTTAGTATCTATTTTATGCTTTAAAAAAATGTCAGCAATAATAAATGTCTTAAAAATAGACTTAAAAAAAGCAGCAGGCATTGAAAAAGGTTTTTTTCATACATTTTTTGTTTTACATATTGTGTCCGAAAGTGATTATATACACATAAATCTGAATCTCTCTCTCAAACACACGCAAGCATTACTCTTTACAACATCTTTTAAAATATAAAATCGCATACAAATTTTTTTTATCACTATAATATATTTTAGATTTGATTTTATATTATATGATGTAGTATAAAAATACACAACCATTTGAAATTAATTTCAATGGAAAAGAAAACAGATTTACATATACACGCACATGCAAATGTACATATATACACATATATGTGTGTGTATATTATACATATAAAATATAATATAAAAACACACACATATATGTAATACAGACACACACACGTGTGTGTGCTTGTGTATATATATATATATATTTTTTTCTGCAAGTCAGAAAAAATACACATGCATATATATATATATATATATATATATATATATATATATATATATATATATATATATATATATATATATATATATATATATATATATTTTAAAAGCACACGGTTAGAATTTAATTTGAATCTGTCTATATGTCTGAAGTTTATTTGCTTGATCGATTCAGACCCGTTTGTCTTTAGACAACAGTAGTCGACAGAAAATCACTGTAATCGCACCTAAATGCATCTCACTCCTCATTAGCTCCTGTTTCTCCTCATTACAAATTACAAGATTTTGCATTTTGGAGCCAAACTGCAACAAAGATCCTCCTGTCTGACTTTGTTGCTAAACCTGAACCTTTATCGCCGCATGACATATTCAGAATAACAAATCACCGCTTACAGCAACGTGCCGTTTAACTACATGTGTGTGCCACTACATCATACTCACATGCACCTGTGTGTGCTTGCTTATGAAAGACTGTGAGGCCCTTTATAGTGCGTGTACTGTGGGTGTGTATGTGTGTGAATGCTCAAA